ACAGTGCCTGCCCTTGCCCCACTCCCTCCCTCACCCTGGGGGCCTCAATCTGCCCCTCCCTAAGCCCCTTCCCTCCCGGCACACCAGACGTACCAGCCTGACGCTGGTGTCCAAGCTGCCCGGCTGCATATCAGAATTGGATCAGTATTGGCTGATACGGCTCCTTAAAAGAAGATTAAATTTGGCCATTGGTATTGGCCCAGAAAATCTCTATCGGTGCACCCACAGTTTTGTGGTACTTATTCCTGACTCTGGAGCCACTTGCAAGACCAAATATTGGAGTTCACATATTGAGTCAGAGACAGGCCTTCTTTCCTTTCCTATCCTCTCCATCATTGTGAGAAACATTCCACTGCAGAACAGCCAAGAGATGCCTCTACCACCCTTTTTTTCCAGCTATGACAACTAAGCTTATTGTGTAGATTCCTGTGACTTAACTCCTAGATCTTCCTTGGGATTTGAAATGGGTTTCTCTAGCCTTTCTGCATCAAGTTAATAGCCCTTCTACTTATGTTTGTAAGTAGTGTGTTCTTTTGTGTAGTTACCATAGATGAACAGAGTTTCTGTAAATAAATTTTATTCACAGGAAGAGCATCTAGTTACCATAAACCCCACCAACTCTCTATTGTACTTTTTGGTTGACATGCTCCTTGTCTGCCTGTGTGACATGAAATCTGTTTTTGACAGCTAGATACCACTACCTTTCTGCACAGGGATTGACCAACAGTCTGTTTAACCTTCAGTACAACTTAATGGCCAGAGGTGCACTTCTGCTGCATACTGCAGAGTCCAGATTAATCTTCAACCAGATCCTACTGTCACTGTCTTTCTATCATTATTATGTGTGCTTTAAAATCCACTTTATAAAGTCTCTCTCGTATCAGGAAGAAGATTGGAAATTGCTTTTATTTAAGGACTGCGAGAGAATTCAACAATGTCTGCCCAAAAAAGTTAAAAAAACCAAAACAAAACCAAACAAACAAGGACACCTAAGTTGCAATGCAAGGAAACAAAGCAATTCAAACAGTTCCTTGTGCTGTGGCTTCACCTCTGCTTCAAAGCAATAGTCTATAAAAGCAAACAGATTTCTCTAGAAGAGAATTAAACCAACAAAAGTTTCCCAGCACATGCTCTAGAAATGAAAGTACACACCCAAGCTTATTAATAATCGTTTTGCAGTGCATAAGACAGCAGAGCCTTTGTTACCACTTCCTGGAAGGTTTCTCTATCTTCTATAACC